CAGTGACGAGGTTGGCAAGCTAGGACAAGCAAAAGAATTTGTCATTTTATGGCTTAAAATACTCATTGACATCATATCTCCCATGGTACTAAACACACTAGCATGTTCTAATTTCTCTTTCATATACTACTTATGTTACTTACCTTTATTCTATCTTTCTATTAGGATGTTGAAGATGCTACTAAATTTTCCTGTTTGGCACAACTATATGACATTTACAAATCAATTAACAAAGTCAATATACAAATGCCTATTGGGATTGTGCAGGAGCAAAGGACATATCATTTTGGATTGGATCAAAAGGATCTCAAGGACTTTCAATCCATAGATCAGCTGGACATTGCGTGGATTCAACTGGCAATAATTTAATTCTATTTTATGATTTATATTCTCTAATTGCTCATTTTAACTTATATATATGAACTAATTTTTGTTTCATACTAAATTGATTATGATAGCTACTTTCACAACTTGTGTGTTTCTACGGGAGAGGGACATTTGTATGGATTCATGTGTCTAGCTGCTTTGCAACCTTTGAAGAATATCATTGATAGGTAAATAAGATATGTGGATAATACCATTGCAGACACTGACTTACCTTGTTATTTTACTCCAATCATTGAAAAGTAAGTAGCTTATATCTACATTTGTGTATTTATATATTTATTTTCAATGAATATTTACTAGCTTCCTTTCATTTTTATTTTTAGTGGACATTGGTCATTGTGCATTCCTTGCCCTAGAGATAATGTCTTTTACTGGTTTGATTCATTGGGGCGTCCCCCAAGTAGCGAAATGAAATGTGTCTTCACCACGTATGTTCTGTCGTCATATATTTAGTTTTCCTACTTTATTAAGTTATTCTAATGTTTGGTCATTTCTATTTCGTCATAGGTCTTTGAAGACATATTATATACGGGGTCGGAAGCGTAAGGAAAAAATGGCAAGACTGTTTGGCACAAACCAAAAGTAAGTATTTCTTCCTTTTTCAATTCTTTAATGTCATCAACTACATATATACATATTCATCTTTCCTACTCACTTTGATTTTACAATGTCATCTACAACCAGGAAGTACAGAGTGCGGATATTATATTATCCATTTCATGTACAAAATTATTGAGTCTGAATGTATTAAAAATTTTGAGATGGTGATAATTAGTTTAATTATGATTTTTTCTTCTATTGAATTGTTTTTCTTTAATTCAAAATCTTGATGAATTCAATCTTCTTATTACTTACATATTTTTTGATGACAACTGCTACACTGATGAAGAAATTGATGCTATTTGAGATTGTTTGGCAGACAATTTCTTCAAGAGTTTTATTCTCAAAATGATACATGAGGCTAAAAGGGTTAGATGATACCGAAGTTTCTTGTATCATGATGTGTAGGGTTATTTTGATAGTTAAAACATATGGTTAGAATGTTAGTATTGTGGATTCTTTTGTATGGAATGGATTTGATTCTACTGGATTACTGTTATTTTGATTGAATTCACACTACCGAAAACATCAAATTAGTGATGGAATTTAGTGACAAAATTTCCATAACTAATTAAAATTAGCGAGGGATTAGTGACAGAATTTAGTTAGCGACGAAAATTTTTCCTGTCACTAATTCCACCATCACTAATTAGTGACGAATTACTGATAAATTAGCAATAGAAATTAGTGGTGAAAATTTTTTGTCACTAATTTTTATCGCTAATTAATGACAGATATCCTACAAAATACAAAAATTCTATCACAAATAGCAACGGATTTGTGACGGAAATTTCCATCACAAATTGGTGATGGAATTTTTCGTCACAAATTCGTCACTAATTTTTTTTATTTTGTAAATTTAAAATACCATGTGGCAATAATTAATTACACCACGTGTCGTGTTTGTGACCACCACCTCATCATCGGCTACCACCTTACATTCTCCTCTCTCTTCCATGTAGCCATATCATCCCCCTCATCCACGTCATCGCCACGTGTCCATCACTGTGAGCTTCCACATCATCACTGGCTACCACCTCATCAACCCTCTCTCCCATGTTGCCATGTCATCACCACATGTTCATCACTGTGAGCTTCCACGTCATTACTGGTCGTCACCTCATCTACCCTCTCTCCATGTTGCACGTCATCGCCATGTGTCCCTCATTGTGAGCTCCCATGTCATCACCAGCCGCCACCTGTCTACCCACTCACTAGGACCTCCTGTACGCGTGCTAAAGCATTTGCCAGTTGAGCTAAGAAGCACCTGCGAAATTTTTATACAAAAATAAATATATATAATATTTCTAATAACAAATACAAATATATTAATAAATATTCTATACATAATTAATATATATTATATAATTTAATATATTATATTTATTTAAATTTAATTTTTTATATTAGTAAAAATTAGTATAAAATAATATTTTTTTTTATCATATATTTAAATGAAATATAGTACGTTGTATACTGTATATTTTTATTTTTTATAATATTTTTTTAAATTTTTCTATAATATATTATTTGAAAATATGATATTTTATATTTTTTAATAATAATTTTAAAAATTATATTATATATTTATATTATATTTTTTGCAACAGATTAGTTACAGAAATCAGTGACAGAAAAATTCCATCACTGATTTCCGTCACAAAATGTTTTGTGATGGGAGTTAGTGACAGATTAGTGATGAAAATTAGTGACGAAAAAATTCCATCACATATTTTGTTGATTGAGTTAGCGACAAATTAATAACAGAAATTAGTGATGAAAAAATTCTGTCACTAATTTCCGTCGCTAATCATTTAAAACAAAATTAGTGGCATACTTTTGACAGGATTTAGTGACGAAATAAAATTCCGTCACTAATCCGTCTCTAATTTAGTGATAGAATAGAATTTTGTCACTAATCCCTGGCTAATTTAGTGACAGAAATTTTCCTCACTAAATCCCCGTCGCTAATTTAGTGACGGATTAGTGATGGAATAAAATTATATGCTAAATTCCGTCGCTAATTTCCTTTTTTTTTTTTATAGTGTCAACTTGTGCTCTGTTTTTGGTTCTTCCATCTTTCAGGGTTGGTTTTTTGTAAAGAAAACGAGCAATTTCACAGGTAGAAATTTTTTTTTCTTAACATATTCATCTATTCTGCTTGACCAAACGAATATGTGTCCATCATATTCGTCTGTTCTACAACAGAAGAATATAGGGACACATATTCGTCTATTTAAGAAGAACAGACGAATATGATGTCCTATATTCATCTATTAATAATAGACGCATATCAAACTTCTATCTACGTCTCCTTTGTCCATGTCCCCTTTTAAACAGATGAAAAAGAGCCTCCAGAATAGACAAAAATGATCTTTTTTTTAGTAGTGTTTTCAGGTGTATGACAAGAGAATGAAGAGATAAAGGGAAGAAGGGATAGAGTTTAAGATGGGAGAAGAGTTGGCAACACAGGGACGAGGGACAATAAAGGAATCACAAAGCCCTCAGCATTTTTATTTTTTTAAAACAGCAAATTAATAGAAGTGAGTAAGTTGATAGGTAGATTAAAATTAGGAAAAATTTCAATTTAGGGCCACTATGTATAATTAATATTAGTCAACCTTCAAAACATTTCAAAACTTCAGGTAAACCCTAGGACCAAAATGAAATTCAAATTTAAGGATAAAGTTACAATAATTCTCCTCTTTTTTAAAAAAAAATTAATTGTTACCTAAGCTTCGACCACTGACACTTAGGTGGCTGTAGCTAATGGTTAGAGCTCCAGCAGTCAGAGAATTTTTTTTAAAATAAGGTGCTCAGGTGGATTTTGAATTCATTATTCATTAGCACATCAAAAGTAAATCAAACTATTTAGTCATATGATGCAAAGAAAAATATATAAACAAAATAAATGCAAATGTCTAAATGTAAATGAACATGTGAAATTCAACAATTTACAACAAAATTGATGATATACGAGTAACGTAATGAAATTTATAACCCCAAATGCAAAGTATTTAGATGTGAATGAGTAAATGAGATTTCAAGGATTTATAACAAAAATTCATAGATTTACAACCCAAATTTAGAAATTCACAAGAAACATAAAGGAATTTATAGCCCCAAATGTAAGTGTTTGAATGTAAATGAACAAATGCAATTCATTGATTTACAATAAAAATTTAGCCATTCACAACCTAAATTCAACTATTCACAAGAAATATAAATATTGCAAAACTTATAATAAGTTAGAAAAAAAAATTGTTTAAAAAGGTGTGTTATTGTAATTTTATGCTTAAATTTTAGTTTCATTTTGATTCTAGGAGATTGACTGAAGTTTTGAAATGTTTTAGAAGTTGACTGATATAAATTACCTACAGGCTACAGTGATGCTGAATTAAAATTTTCCCTTAAAATTATTCGACTTGGAGCATTTTCATTGCACAATGTTCGAGATTTCCTAGGATTTCCCAAGAATCCCTTGCTGTTAATGAACCCCTTGACTTAGATAACTTGCATCAAACTAAAGATGCCTTTACTGAATGAAACACAGGTTGCGAGTTCATGTCTGAAGCATGGAAAGAAATCATGTCTGAAGCATGGAAAGAAACCATGTCCCTCTTCGGTACCCATTAAATGAGAAGCCACAGGCAGTAATTCAATTTAAACAAAGCATCATATCAGAAAGTTGGTCATTCCCATCAAGGATTATATTTCATTAAATTTTTTTCACAACGATACACAAACATTAACTTACACAGTTACTCTTCCAGTTTTAAATATTAGACTCATTTTATAGTGTAATTTATATTATAAAATAGGTTTTATTTTTAAGATCAGAGGAGTATAGTGCAGACTTTCCTATTTGAAAGGCAATTCGTTTATAAATTCTTATGATATGAGTAATAATTATGCTGCTCCGGAGCTGCACATATATAATAGAGGAACCACAAACTGCTAAATTGAAGCAGCAATTTCATCTGTGAAATACAACCAAGAGCCTCCATCAGCTGCTATATATTTCTATCAATGATATCCTCAATAAGTCTCCCTGTAGAAATGAATGATGATCCACCACTTGAGACGGCTTTCCTGGCCTTCTCTTTCATCTCTTGTACCTTCTTACGCACCTCGCTATCTCTATCCGTCAACTGTGTTATTCCTCTCTCTATCTCATCTGCCAGAACAAGATCACCATCACTCCTGTAATCCAGTATCAATTCCACCGCTAATCCAAATTCCCTCACCATTCTGAATGCATTTAGCTGTTGTTCTGCATATATAGGCCATCTCAAAATTGGTACTCCAAACCACAAGCTCTCCATTATTGAGTTCCACCCACAGTGAGATACAAACCCAACAATGGATTTGTGTGCCAGAACCCCAACCTGTGGTGCCCACCCGCATATCATTCCATTGTCATGCGTTGATTCTAAGAAACCTTCTGTTAAGGTTCTGTCTGCATGGTCTTTTGTTGGAGGTGAGCGCATAGCCCACAAGAATCTAACCCCACTATTCTTAAGTCCTTCTGCTAATTCTCTTGTTTGAGATGGACTTAAGATTCCCATGCTACCGAAACAAAGAAACACAACGGAGGAAGGTGGTTGATCATCAAGCCATTTCATTGTCTTTACATGCTGAGCCTGATCCAAATTTGAGTTAGGCTGACCCTTTAGCTCAATCAAAGGTCCAACAGTATAAATTGGAGGGACTTTCTCGTCTTTAAGTATATCATCAATGGCATACTGCTCCAATTCTGAGAAGCTATTTACAACAATCCCCTTTAATTTGTCTCTGTGAAATTCTGAGCTAGCTTATAATAAGCAAAATATCCCCTTTCTTTACTAAAAAGAGAATTAGGCAAAACCTTAGGAGGAACTAGATTGGAGAAACCTGGGATCAACAACTCAGGACCAGAATCCTTGAATTCATCATCAATTTGGCGTTTCTGAAGGGAAAGCATAGTACCCAAAAATCCTGCATTTGTGGTCAGAAACAAATAAGAAGACCCAATTCCTTTCCCACGTCAACCATGGACATACAGAACAAATCAAGGACCAATCCAACAACTGGGTTTGAATCAGCCGTACGTAAGATGTTCTATATGGTGGATTTGACGTGGGGTATAAGTCTTTCCGTGAAGACATAAATTAAATACACTGGAGGTTTCAGAGGCTCTGGTGGAGGAGGGTCTACTTCAGGAAGATCAATTAGTCGGATTCGAGGTTGGGAGGCCAACACTGATTTGATGTATGAATTAGAAAAAGCAGTGAATGGGAACTTAATGCAGAGGATTGTGAAGGAAATGCGAGAATCGTAATCGATTACGCGCTTTGCGAACTCAAGAGCCGAAACCAAGTGGCCAATCCCCGGCGAGGGGATGAAGATGAGCTCTGAGTTCTTCATGTCAACCATTTTCTTTGTCGACTATGCATGAAAGAATGATTCTCAAATGACCGTTTTCTTGCACGTATGTTTGGTAATAAATTAATTTTTGATTGTTTTGATGCAGGTACTCTATTGGTTTACTCCCTTTTTAACTAATTCTCTCGTAACACTAAACCTTGATTATTAACAAGGGTGAAGTTAATAGCAATGATTAAAGAACCGGACCGGACCGGACGGTCGGACCGGTTGAACCGTCGCCCGGACTCGTTAACGACTCGGTTTGGACCAAAAAACCGTTCACATAGTTGAGCCGGATTGGACCAGAGTTGAGCCGTTATTAAGCCGGAAACCGGAGTTGGACCGGGAACCGGAACGGTTTTCAGAAAACCGGACGGTTTTTTTAGCCTGACTGAAAAATACTAAAATTTTTTAAAAAAATAGAAGAAAAATAAAAAAATTGATCCCCTTAAATATCCTAATATATTTTTAGACTATTTATAACCATATAGTATTATTTCATTGAAAATTTCATATATTGTGGTGTTAAAATCGTGAGTCGCTAGTCTTTTTGTTTCGATATTTGGTCTATCTTTTAAAAAAATATTTTGATTTGAATGAATTGATAATTTGTAATATCATTAAATATTTTAAACATACATAAATTTAAATATATAAGGTTTTAGTCCATTTTCAATGATTTCATTATAATTTTAGATTATTTAAATGCATTTCTAAATTATTTAATAATTTGATATTTTTCATATATACTAATTATATGTATATAATATTGTTTTAAATTAATTATTGCGTCACCGGTCTGACCAAACGGTCTGACCGATCCGACCGATTAAACCATGACCCGTTGATCTTTCCGGTTCGACTTCCGGTCCGGCTTTTAAAACATTGGTTAATAGTAACTAATGAGTTTGTTAATACTTATATATTATTTAGGACCAAAAAATTCCTTTTAAATAGCCAGGGGAATATTTTTCTACTTTATATATTCAATCATAAATTTTAAATAAAATTTAAAATTTGGAAAATCATGTTTATTATTTTTTGAGATAAAATTTTCAAAATTAAAACAAAATTAACTAAGTATAAAAATTAAAACAAAAACTCATTAAAAGTATGGGAACCGTTTGTTTAACTCAAACCAAAAAATTATAAAATTATAGGGAGCAAAGCCAAAAGATTTGAAATTATAAGAATCAAAATCAAAATTTGATTAAACTATAAGAACTAATAATGATATTAACTCTCATAGCTGTAAGAAAAAACAATTATACATGTGATTCATATAGTGTTTATTTTATTATCTTTTCATCCTTTTCAATATATATATTTGCATTTTAAAGGTAAATGGCTGGTCATGAGATGCTTTTCACACCGAAGGGTGGGATTCAATAACCACGCAGGTGTGACTTATTAGTTATCTCACTTGGTCTCTTAACCAAGTGGTGAGAGTTCAAATATCATAACATTAATATATACATTTAGTTTTTTTTTTTACTTTAGATAAGATTTTAATTTGGCCTCTTAATTTTAAAAAAAATATCTTTAATTATTTAATTCTAAAATTGCAAGTTTTAAGTAATGCTTGTTTTAACAATTATAGTTGTTTTAAAAATTAAACTTACTAGGTTAGCATTTAAAAAATGTTTTATCAACACTCAAGATTTTTTTTTGCTAACAGTTTTAGGATTAAAGGATTAAAAACATATTTTTTAAAGTTAAAAAATAAAAATAAAACCTTATATAAAGTTAAATGACTAAAAGTATACTTTAACATAATGTATGAGCGTAATTTAAAATATTTTCAATATTTGTGTATAATTATAAAATCTCATCTTAATATAAATTTTGAAATAATTTATAATAAGGACAAGATAATGTCAACTAAAATCAAACCCCAAATTAATCTTTTTCCAATAAAAAAATTGTTTTAAAAAAATATTCATCGAAAACAACTGGATCTCCGATGTCAATGGTATCAAATTAGGTTGACTGTCTTGATGCTTGATGTCATGACGACATTATTCTCAATTTCTTTTTATTGAAAAAATTATAGTCTAACACATTCATGAGCTGATTCAATTTATTTGCCTTTTTTTTTCTTGGGCCACAATGACATTATATTAGATTACCATTAAAAAGACCCACACGGGTCCATGAAACACAGCCACAAAAGTTTAATAAAAAAATATTAATACACGTCCTTATAATTTGTCTTTATTCTAATTTCAGTCCCTATAGTTTCAAACCACAAGTTTTAATCCCTCAAAACGTTAATCTCTACACTTTAATAAAAATTTGAACTATTTTGTTTCTTAAAAGATTAAAATATATTGTTTGAAATTATTGAAAATAAAACGAAAATAAAAATAAACTATAAAGACCAAACATTGTACTCCTCCGATCCTTATTATAAGACCCAATTTGACTTTTTATTTGGTCCTAATTATAAGACCCAATCCATTTTCTCTCTTATATTTATGCATTTTTTTCCAAGATAATCCTTCTAATAATGATAGTTTTAGCCAATATACTTAATTAGCAAGAATATTTTAGGAATAACAACACTTATTTATTATAAATAACCAACTTAACTTACTTCCTTAATCTCCTCAAATAAGTCAATTGGGTCTTATAATTAGGACCAGAGGAGTATTAAAAAAACCATAAAGCAATGCATCAAAAACCAAACCAAATAAACAACAAAATCCACAAAACGAGGTAAATTTAATCCTATGCTCCAAAGATTGACATTATTGTAATGGTCAATTATCTTTAGACCAAAGAATAAGATAGTAGTAAGAGGAGTTGATTGTTCATAGACATGCTCAGAGGGTGTTTGGATGAAACCAAACCATGATTTGGAGAATAGCTTCTGGAGAATAGATTCTAAAGAGAATAGATTCTGGAAAAAATAAATTTTATGAAAAAATGATTCTGAGAAGTGAGAGTGTTTGGATAGTTGTTACCAGAAGAACTTTTTACATGTATAAATTATTAAAAAGGACATAAATTAATATGATAATTATATAAGTGATAGATTTTATAATATATTTTGATTTGAAGAAATAAAATTGTTAATAAAATAATTTTTACTAACATAATTAATAATATATAAGATAATATAACTAATAAATAATTAATATGTGTATATATATTTATAAATTATAAGATTAAATAGTGAAGAAATGAGTGTGGAATGAAGAGTGAGGCATCAATTATGGGGGCTGCTTTGTCATATGCTGTTGGGCTCACACCAACGTCTAGAAAATTTGAGTCAGAAGCAACTTTAAACCACTTCCATCGAAACCATGGTTTCACATTTTCTGCCCCTATTTGGCTGGTTTCTTCCCCAAACTATGGTTTGGAGGGACATCCAAACAGATCGAACTCAATCCTTTTATTGCGAAAACGGTATTACCATAAGCTGCTATAAAGTACTCTTGTTTCAAGAAAATCAACCTAAAAGCCAAGATGCAATCATTCCCAAATAACCAAGCATGCATAGAGTAAGAATTCCTCTAGACTTCTGCCTTTGCAATAACCTACAAAGACTTCAACTCTAGAATCATTTAAAACTTCCTCCAAATTTCGAAACTATTTAAAATAACTTATAAATAACTTTTCAATCATGATTTATAGAATACAAAATAAGTATGTTAAAAAATTTTTATTTCAATTTACATAAAATGTGTTTATAAGTTATTTCTAGCGTCATACCGAACATAACCTCAATCTCTAAATTAATGTAGCCAATAAATAGAGTCTCCGGGATATTCAAGTAGAGAGGCTTTTGCATATTATATGTTCTCATTAGGCATTTGCAGAAAGTTTCTCTAACACATCACAAGTCACATATATATATATATATATATATATATATATATACACTATATGCTCACTTGTTTAATCGGTGAGTTTGCTTCTCTTCTGGAAGGCTTAAAGTATAATAGAATCAATTAATTAATATATGCTATTGTCTGGCACCATAATTTTTTTGAAAATAAATAAATAAATTGAAAATAATGTAGTCCTGCGTTCCTTTACAGCCAAGCATCAAGAGACACTTGACCTAACTTGATGGCATTATATTGACATTGAAATCCACTTGTCCTTGGGAATCTTTCTTTCTTCTTTTATTTTTTAAAATAATTTTTTATTAAAAAAATTGGCCTTGACTTTGGACTTGTTCGCATTTCTTGTCCTTATAAAATTACTTCCAAAATTTTTATTGAGATAAGATTTTGTATTTATATACGAATATTGAAAATACGTATGCGATATCGCATTTTAAATTACAATTAATGCATTAATTTTAAAATAGAATAAAATACTTTTTCGAATGTAAAAAAAAATCTTTAAATCGATGTTAAATTAATAAAATAAATAATAAATGAATTATATATAATATAAATAATTACATATGAACAATAAAATATAAACATGATTTTCCAGCTAGCCAATTATAAATTTTTATTTAAAAATTATTATTAAAAGATAATAGAAAGTATTATAGACCGCCTGCGTCAAAACAATGCTAAATCACATTACCAGCCACACGTAGAAAGGGGTAAAAAAAGCGGGCCTTGGCGCGAGGTGGGAATCCTTCTTCGTTCACGGTTCACAAACCCAGTAAGCCTAAAGAAAATGGCTGACATGAAGAACTCGGAGCTCATCTTCATTCCCTCGCCAGGAATTGGTCACTTGGTTTCGGCTCTTGAGTTCGCAAAGCGCATAATCGATCATGATTCTCGCATTTCCTTCACAGTCCTCTGCATTAAGTTCCCATTCACTCCCTTTTCAGATTCATATATCAAATCAGTGTTGGCCTCCCAACCTCGAATCCGGTTCGTTGATCTTCCGGAAGTAGACCCACCTTCACCAGAGCTTCTGAAGTCTCCAGAATACTTCATCTATGTCTTCATGGAAAGCCTTATACCCCACGTCAAATCCACTATACAGAACATCTTACGTACGGCTGATTCAAACCTAGTTGTTGGATTGGTCCTTGATTTCTTCTGTATGTCCATGGTTGATGTGGGAAAGGAATTGGGTCTTCCTTCTTATTTGTTTCTGACTACAAATGCAGGATTTTTGGGTACTGTGCTTTCCCTTCAGAAACGCCAAATAGATGGTGAGTTCAGCGATTCTGGTCCTGACTTGTTGATTCCAGGTTTCTCCAATCCAGTTCCTCCTAAGGTTTTCCCTAATGCTCTTTTTAGTAAAGAAGGGGGATACTTTGCTTATTATAAGCTAGCTCAGAATTTCACAGAGACAAAGGGGATTGTTGTAAATAGCTTCTCAGAATTGGAGCAGTATGCCATTGATGATATACTTAAAGACGAGAAAGTCCCTCCAGTTTATACTGTTGGTCCTGTGATTGAGCTCAAGGGTCAGCCTAACCCCAATTTGGATCAGGCTCAGCATGAAAAGATAATGAAATGGCTTGATGATCAACCACCTTCCTCCGTTGTGTTTCTTTGTTTTGGTAGCATGGGAAGCTTAAGTCCATCTCAAACAAGAGAGTTGGCAAAAGGACTTAAGAATAGTGGGGTTAGATTCTTGTGGGCTATGCGTTCGCCACCAACTAAAGACAATGCAGACAGAACCTTAACAGAAGGTTTCTTAGAATCAACGCATGACAATGGAATGATATGTGGGTGGGCACCACAGGTTGAGGTTCTAGCACACAAATCCATTGTTGGGTTTGTATCTCATTGCGGGTGGAACTCAATAATGGAGAGCTTGTGGTTTGGAGTACCAATTTTGACATGGCCTATATATGCAGAACAACAGCTAAATGCATTCAGAATGGTGAAAGAATTCGGATTAGCGGTCGAGATGAGACTGGATTACAGGAGTGATGGTGATCTTGTTCTGGCAGATGAGATAGAGAGAGGAATAACACAGTTGATGGATAGAGATAGCGAGGTGCATAAGAAGGTCCAAGAGATGAAAGAGAAGGCCAGGAAAGCTGTCTCAAGTGGTGGATCATCATTCATTTCTACAGGGAGGCTTATTGAGGATTTCATTTGTAGAAATAGCAGCTGATGGACGCTCTTGGTTGTATTTCACAGATGAAATTGCTGCTTTCTTGATACAAGAGACACAAGCTTTCTTGATATAAAAGACACACCAGGCATGAAACCAGCAGAATCATATATCAGAGACAGAGGTCAAGTTTCAAGATTTTAGCAGTTTGATATAGATCCACCTAAAGAACAGCTTGCTCATATCATTAAGAATCCGTAAATGAGTTGCCTTTCAAATTGGAAAGCGGCATTATATGACTATGCAATTTGTACTTTGGATTTTGTCTGTCTTGGTTTTGGTAGTCTTCTTAAGTATCACGTGTTCAAGAGTTGCGGCAGCATGTTAATTTTTGTATATCATTGTGAAGTAATGAAATATAATCCTTGTTTGTTATTAGATTGAACAATTTTCTGATATGATGCTTTGTTCCTTTAGTATTCCTGCCCGCAGCTTCTTTGTAAATGGACATTGAATGGGGCATTGGAAGCAAAAATATTTGAGAGTGGTTCTAATCCTTGGACTTCGGATGCAGAACCCATGTTCAATCATTAATATCATTTTCCCGTTTTTTATACATATGTTAAATGCCATATTATTTATTTGTCATTGTTAAGTATTACCTTCATCCTTATTTATAAGTCATTTTATAAAATCTATGAAACAATTATCTTTTTCTAAATTTATTGGTGTGAATATTGTTAAGTAACTCCGCCTACATAGCCGGTCTTAAGCCCGAGTAAAGGAGGAGGATTGTGTTAGGCCCTCAACAGCCTATGTAAAACTCTGTCGAATCTTTTATGACATGGATCAACGAAGAAATTGTGTTACTGTTAGGTTGTTGCTAGGAAGTGACGTGTTGTATGGCTCGAGTACAGTGAGAAGTGAGCAACATTGTTGCCCGAATGTAGTATTAAATGAGCAAGGGCTACCATACTCTTATGGACGGAGGCAACTAAAAAAGTTAGTTTATGAAAGCAAGATCAGGTTTAGCACTTGGAATGTTAGGACACTGTATGGTAAATCAAGGGAGGTGGTGGAAGTAATGGGCAAAAGAAAGATTAATATTTTGTGCCTACAAGAAACTAAATACGTTGGAAAGAAGGCCTTCGAATTTACTAATAGATTTAAACTTTGGTATACGGGAAAGGTAGGCACAAGGAATGGAGCTGTTATTATCATTGATAATGAATGGAAACAGAATGTGGTAGAAGTCAAAAGGATAGAAGACAGAATCATTTCTTTAAGAATAATTGTGGGGAGGGATACTATCAATGTGATTAGTGTTTATGCACCTCAAGTAGAAGCGGAAGATCGTTTTAAGGAGAAATTTTGGACGGATATGGAGAATTTGATTCAAAGTACACCAACCATAGAAAAGATTTTTATTGGCAATGATCTTAATGAACATGTTGGTAAAGATGTGGGACAATATGCTGGGGCTCACAGTGGTATGGATTTTAGAGTGCGTAATAATGAAGGGCAAGCTATTATTGATTTCTCTTTCGCGTACAACCTCAAGATTGTTAACACTTGTTTTAAGAAGCGGAATGAGCATTTAATCACTTATAAGAGTAGAATCCATAGGTCGCAGATTGATTTCTTCCTGGTAAGGAATCCTGATAGAAAACTCTACACAAATTGTAAAGTGATTCCTGGAGATGGAGTTACAGCACAACATAGAGTACTAGTCCTTGATGTGCGTATTAAATGTATAAAACAAAAGTGGCAACAAGTGTTAACCCTAAGGGTCAAATGGTGGCAGTTAAAGGGAGAGAAGCGAGAGATTTTCAAAAGGACGCTTTTAAATGAAGGGGTTTGGGAGTTCTAAGGAAATGCTAATCTTATGTAGATAGAAATGACTAAAAAAGTCTAAAAGGTTGCCAAAGCAATCTTGGGTGAATCGAAAGGTCGAGGTTGGCGAGATAAAGAGACGTGATGGTGGAACAAGAACGTGCAAGAGAAAATTAGGCATAAACGATAGTGTTTTAAAGCGTTACATTTGTGTAATAATGCTGAAAATTAGGAAAGATACTGTGTAACTAAGAAAGAGACTAGGAGAGCAGTGGGAGAAACTCATACTAAAGCTTTTGAGGAGTTCTATAAGGATCTAGGGACTAAAGTTGGGGAACGCAAGATCTACAAGATCGCAAAGAATAAAGAAAGAAAAACAAAAGATTTGGACCAAGTAAAATGTATAAAGAACGAAGAAGGTAAAGTTTTGGTTACTAAAGGTGATATTAAGGATCGTTAGGAAGCCTACTTTTATAAACTATTTAATTATGGGAGCGAAGGATCGACTTATGAGCTTGAAGATTTGACAATTGTAGAAGAAGAACATAATTTTGCTTTTTATCGAAGAATTCAAGTTGGTGAAGTTAAGGAAGCTTTCAAGAAAATGGAAAATAATAAAGTAGTTGAACCTGATGGTATTCCTATTGAAGTTTGAAAATGCTTGGGTGAAGGTGGGGTGCTGTGGCTTACTAAGTTATTCAATGAGATTTTACGCTCCAGGAAAATGCCTGATAATTGGAGGAAAAGTACTTTAGTACCTATTTACAACAATAAAAGGGATATTCAGAACTATGCTAGTTACAGAGGGATCAAACTCATGAGCCATACCATGAAATTATGAGAGAAGATGATGGAACACAAGTTGAGATTGGAGACTGGTATTTCTGAAAACCAATTCGGATTCATGCCAGGAAGATCGACAACAAAAGTGATCTATTTACTTAAGGGGCTGAATGGAAAAGTACCAAAGCCATAAAAGAGACTTGTATATGATTTTTATTGATTTGGAAAAAGCTTATAAACGTGTGCCTAGGGAAGTACTCTGGAGAGCCTTGGAAAAGAAAAGGATGCGTGTTGCTTATATTAAAATCATACAAGACATGTATGAGGGGGTCACAACTAGTGTTAGAACACCAGGCGATGAGACAAAGAACTTCCCGATAAGGATTGGCCTACATTAGGGATCATCTCTAAGCCCTTATCTGTTTAATCTAGTCCCTGATGTTCTAACTGAGCATATCAAAGAAAAAAAATCCCAAAGTGCATGCTTTTTGCTGATGATATAGTTCTATTGGTTGAGTCAAAAGAAGAGATTATCGCTAAACTTGAGACATGAAAAAGAACCTTGGAATCAAAGGGTTTCTGTTTGAGTAGAAGCAAGACAGAATATATGCATTGCAGTTTTGATAAGAGACAACTTAGTATAGAGTTAAAGGTCAGATTGGGAGACCAGGTCATTCAATAAGTGGAAAAGTTTAAATATTTGGGATTAATTATACAAAAAGATGGGAAAATTGATGAAGATATTAATCATAGAATTCAAGGTAGATGGTTTAAATGGATAAAAGTGACAGGAGTGCTCTGTGATCAGAAAGTATCAAATAAGGTCAAATGAAAGTTTTATAGTACTGCTATAAGACCGATAATGCTATATGGCAGCGAGTGTTGGGCTTTAAAGGGCAACATGGACATAAAGTAGTAGTTGTTGAGATGAGAATGTTAAGATAAATGTGTAATCATAAAAGAAAAGACAAGATCCGTAATGAACATATAAAAGGAAAAGTTGGAGTGGCTGCTATTGATGAGAAAATGGTAGAAAACTCATTAAGATGGTTTGGTCACATGTAAAGAAGGTCTTGGGACATGCAGGTAAGAAGAGTTGAGCAAATAGTATGGAGTCTTCTAAAAAAGAGTGGAAGAAGACCGAAAACAATGCTTAATGAAGTGATTGAGAGAGATCTCTTAATTAACAATCTATCCAAAGATTTGACTTTGTATAAGGTTCAATGGTGTCGTGCAATCCATGTAGCCAACCCCACTTAGTGGGATAAGACTTTGTTGTTGTTGAATATTGTTAAGTAATTATGGCATCAAAGAGTATAAAGAGAGATAATAATAAATTTACATTTAGAGATACATGTAAAAAAAAATTGATATAATTACAATAAACCAGTTTTAACTAACTTTTTTAACTAAATACCCCCTTCGTTCCTATTTATAAAAGACGTTTATTTGAAAGAGCAACACACTTTGAAAATGTTTATACATTTAATCTATTTTTTTCCTATATTTATCCACAACTAATTACATGTCTCTCTTACCTTTTTTTCTCCCTTATTCTCTCTCAGTTCTTTTTTCACTTATTCTCTCCTCCACCCACATTTTCCAGTCTTTAAAAAAAATTGCATTTTTTTCATATTAATTACTTCTAACTTTCTAGTTAACGTGATTTCGTTAATTATCCCTTATAAAAAAGATAGAAAAAAAGATAGGAAGGAATATAACTTACAAACAGGAACAAAGAAGGATCTAAATTGACGGAATGAATTACCTGCTATTAAGATTTCATTTTATATAGAATTTCATGCAGACAGTGCTATTGGGTATCAATTGAAGTTCACGACAACTAATAACGATTTTCTGGCTTTTTTGGTGGTTCATTTCAATGTCCACTGCCCACAGAAATCTTCTTTCAGACGATGTCCTCCCCATGTCTCTTGCAAGTCCTAATGTACAAGGCTTTGGTTCATTTGAAATAAGAAGAAAACATACCAACTATAAATCCTCCATTCAGTATATTCTACCAAACTATCTCAATTTTGTATCTAGCAGACAATTCTATAAATTTGGAGCCGTGTTTACCTTCAGCCGGAACCTTTTTTTTCCCCTTGATAACAGCAAGCTAAAGACATAAATCACAACAATATATATATATATATATATATATATATATATCAGAGATTCAAATCTTGTGTCAATGCTTTTTAAGCATCAGTAGTTGGATGCATGATTTCTACCATCCGGAAACATGAATTGATCAAAACCAGAAGTTTTTAACTTCTCACGTCGAAAAGAAGATTTTCATTGCTCTCATAACAAAGTGGAAGATATCATACGGAGGAGCACAAGTACGATGACCAGACAGAGAGAATGAGAGCATAGAAATACAATCCTCTCCAGTTTAAAGGAGGGACAAGATGCCCAATTTCCAAGCTCCTGATCCCAATAATTACCTTCTTGATCTCTTTTCATCTCTCTTGTTGGAATCATATTTTACTTTTACGTCTGATCTATTCGTATCATGTCTGTTCGATCTGTCCCCTTGCTTCACATCATAATCTTCTCTCGACCTTGATGCAGAATCATATTCTCTATGCTGCCTTGACCTCCTCTCTTCCCTTGACCTAGTACCAAAATCATCATCATCATCTTGTCTCCTGTACCTCTTTTCTTCCCTTCTATCAGAATCTCTAGTCCTGGGTTCAAGCTCATCATCATCTGGCTTCCTTGACTTGGTGTCTTCCCTCATATGATGATCTCTTCGCTCAAGTTCCATATCATCATCATCATTTCTCCTTCTTGATTGTTTATCTTCCCTTCTATTACGATCTTCTCCTGCCCTAGACACAAGTTCATCATCTTCATGCCTTCTAGATCTCTTCTCTCTTCTATGATCATGTTCTCTGGCTTCTGGAATATGACTTGATTGATTGTTTCCATGTTTTTTCTCTTTTTTGGGACCGTCAAATTTTTCATGACGCCACTTTGAACCAGCATCCTCAGGGGCCCCCCAACCTGTGTTTGCAGCTCTCTGGATAGACACAACAAGGACATCAAAGGAACTCAAATCAGCAAGAATTTCCAACCAAGCTTATATTTGAAACTATGCGAAAGATTAGGTTCACAAAATTCAGCAAATTTACAACTTAAAACCGCTTAAATCATGAGCAACACAAGACGAGGAGAAAAACTAAACATAGAGCCAAAGAGGCTAAAGCTGTCCAATCTCCTTGCATATCAGAAATGGAAATTCCCTTCAAACAACCATGTCAAGAACACAATCATATATACAAGGATACAAAGACATTCTTGAAGATTCATGCACTGCACTCAAACAAAATAGACCAAAGACATGTAAAGCTGCATTTGACCTCCTTATCATCAAAACCTTAGAAACATAACATGAGGCTCCAAGGTGAAAGAAGATGATTAATGTGAAAGATGTCTACAGAAACTGGAGGCCGGTCTAACCATGTGTAGTAATCAGTGAGCTTTGAAGTTTCAGTTGCTCAAATAAACAAAGTTGAGAAAGCAAGAGGCATGACACATTTTGGTTTCTATCTCTTTAAAGTTGTCTCATAGACAAAGAACTAGACATGCGGTTGTTCTAACAGTGAAATGATAACCAAAACTTGAAATCTAAATTCTTATGTCTTGTCGAGGCAATGACGTCAAAATTTTGCGATGGTTGATTTACTGGCTAAAACATTAAACTATATGTTAGCAAGTTCACAAAGCTGCCCAAAACATTAAAGTCAATTCTTGAGGTGATGCCAAATGAAGAATTGAAGAAAAGCATGTCATTTGAAGAAGCGCCCCCCGCCGCGGGGGGGGGGGGACACAATGCTTACGAACACTATCATTGTTTTGCAAAATCAAACTGCAGGCATCGAAAATTTTAGATCTAAAGCATAAAGGTCATGATAAGATCACAAAAGCTAATAGCGATGGAACCCAACAAAATTTGCTTGATCATGAGAAAATCTACTTACTTGCTCATCATGAGAAAATTTGCAGCTAGCTCCACGTGTACATTCACCTCTTTGGAAAGCTCGACAAACACCTCGTTCCTCCCTTTTCTTCCTCTCTGTCTCTTCATCTTCCTCTTCTTTCTTTTTATATTTTGTAACATGATCAACCCTAATTATTCTACCCAGAATCTGTGCTCCATTCAAATTATCTGAAGAAAAAGCATTAGCAAGTCATTTAGGTTATCATTCTGCAGGAAAAAAAGGGCCAAAAACCCATCAGTGAAAAATATATTATGACAAGAAAGAGAGCCCAACCTACGGCAAGATTTGTGCTTCTTTGATCTTCATATGCAAGAAATGCAAAACCTTTTGACTTCCCAGTACCTTTGTCCCTAACAAGATTTACATCAACAACCTCCCCGTATCTGGATTTACACAAGTCATTAGCAGATATTAGAGAAAAATCAAAATCAGATTTCATAAAGAACAAAATTAGCCAAAAGGAACCGATACGATACAGATTTCATACAACACTTGTCACATCTTTGTCACATCTACATGCATCAGTATGCAATAATGTACAGTAATTCTATGTTTATAAGTTCCTGTAAGTATTCAAATAAGTAGCCTCTGTATTTCTGAGAATTCTCATCATACACATGCTTAAGGAGCTAAGATACTGCATAAGAAGTACATATTTGTCCTTTGCAGCAGAGCAAGAGGCACGTTCTTATGCCTAGGGGAAAGGGGTTAGGTCTTGCACCTAGCATATACTGCTAACCAAAGCAGCAATTTTTCTTGCTTATAGTAATCCTACGGCACTCCCACGGCATATTGCTACTGAAAAACTCGCCCACTCTACCACAGGTAATAGCTAATAAATCGGATGACAAACACAGAAGGGAAGAAACTTTAAAAGGGAGAGGATAGTAACATAATTTTCAAATGTACGATAACCGAATCGAAAGGATGAGACTTACTGAGCAAAAACTGCGAGGAGATCACCCTCGGTGAGATCGAAGGGAATCCCACCCACGAATACATAAGCGGAATCTTTGTATTTGGCGTGCCAGGAAGCCTCCTCGCTGATGCCCAAAGAAGCTTCTTTGGAATTGATATTCTGAATGCGCTTCACTAGGGTTAACGGATTCATCTCTCAAATGCAAAGTTCGCTGATTGATTCAGGTCAATCACCAGTTCACCACCTTTTGACGATGAACGAGGGTTTAAACGTTTGAGTTTTGTTAGGCTTTGTTTGGTTCAAAGGGGGGAGGGGAGGAGAGGTTAATTAACGGAAGGGGAGGGGAGAGGAGGGCAGGGCAGGAGAGGAAATTATAAATTGATAAATATGCCATTATCTCTATATTTAAACTGATTTATTCTTTTATTATAATATTTATATCAAAATTATTATTTCTGAATTTATCAATTTCAAAAAAACCAATTACCTCACTTATATGTGATAAAAAAAATTATGAAATAAAAGTATAATATATATTAGAAAAGTGAATGGGAGAAAAAAAGATAAAACCTTAACTATATAATAATACCCTCCACATATTAAGAAATAAAAAATATATATGATATTAACAGTGTCATTTTATAATTATAATATATATTAATATATATAATTAATTAATATATGAACATATATGCATATTATATTTGTATGTGTAACTGAGCGACTGTGGAAGGGAATGCGAAGGTAATCATGCAAAATCAAAAAAATATCAAGAGGACACTACTGAAATATTCAAAAAATGACATGAACATATTTGTCAAGATTCTCATAATATTTGTCTTCCCTCCAAAAACCCCCAATTTGAAAGGGGGGAGGGGGAGGGGGGGCACAAAAGGATAAATTTTTTTTAGCTCCCCTCCCCTCCTCCCAACCAAACACATCCTCCTATCCCCTCCCCTCCCCTCAAAAAAAACCCAACCAAACAGAGCCTTACGCTTCTGCAGACTCCAGTTATCTCCGCTGCGCTTATTCTTCGCCCCTTTCGGAGGCGATGGGAGTGCTTTTTTTTTTTTTGGTGCACCAGACAAAATGATATATTAAAAGAAAAAGCTAAGAAAGTGAAATAAATCATTGGGACAATGACAAAAAAAAGAAGCTGAAATTTTATAAATGCCAAACAAAGAATGTAATAAAAATTTATTGTCATTTGTAAATTCAGACTTGTCAATATCAAATAAAGTTGTATTATCAAATCTGATTTAGAATTTGTAATTCCCAACTTCTTTTTCTGTCATTCTCTCTAAATTATTTTAAAATATTATATTTATCAATTTTTTAAAATTAATTCACCCAACTTATACATTGATATATAATCTAGTAATATAATGATTATTTTCTAAAGATCATGTAACATATGTTATAATTGAATAATTTTTTAACTTACTTAGTTTTCTTAGAATAGTGAGCTGCTGAATCTTATATTAAGAATTGGAGCTTGCATTTTTAATGTAAAAGCTAACTAACTAATTTATAAATATTAAAAAAATTAATTAAATTAATTATTTGCAATAAATAGATGGGAATATGACACAAAAATGATACTTAAACTTAAAAATCCCAAAATAATCCTTGAATAAGCAAAATCCCAACTTAAGTATAAGTGATCAAATTGGAATTTACAAATTTGCTTAAATGACTATGTTGCCCTTTTATTTTTTTTTATTATCTTTAAAAAACCAAATACTCTCACTGGTTGGCTGGTCGCTGGAATTTTAGTACCGGTAGTGGCTGTCGCAGTTCAAATGGCTACTTTCACCAGGACTCAAGAGGTCCAATAGTCAGTAACTATTTTTTTGAAAAATTTAACAATCTCAATAACACGATTAATAAGTTTTGTAATACTATTAACAAGTTAAATATAGCAATTAATGACAGGTTTTTCAGAAAATTTAAAATGTTGTAGTTTTACAACTTCATTAGTGTCGTTAACAAGTTCTGTAACTCTATTAATAAGTTTGGTATGACATTTAACAATAGGTCTTTTGAGAAATTTAAAAGGTGACATTTTTACAATTTTAGTAATACAGTTAACAAGTCATGTAATGATATTAGTAACTCTCATAAAGGTTGATGTTTTTAATATTAGTTCCCTATGAAAGTTGTACAATAAAATTTTCTCACTTATTGGGTAGTCATTATGGTTATGAGAATTATTAATGTCGTTACATGACTTGTTAACCATGTTACTAAAGTTATAAAAATACCACTTTTTGAATTTTCTAGAAAACCTGTTATTAAATGCTATACCGAATTTGTTAATAGAGTTACGAAACTTGTTAATAGCGTTACTGAAGTTGTAAAAATACTATTTTTTGAATTTCCTAAAAAACCTATTATTAAGTTTTATGCTGAACTTATTAATAGTGTTACAGAACTTGTTAACCATGTTATTAAAATTATAAAAAAATTCCAAAAAAATAGTTCTCAGCTATTGGAGCTCTGGTGACCATGGCCACTTAAACTCCGGCAGCTGCCGCCGACACCAGAGGTCTGGCAACTAGCCAGCTAATGAAGCCATTTAATTTTTAAAAAAGAATAAAACATAAAAGGTAATATGGTCATCTCAGCAAATTTACAAATCCTAAATTGGTCACTCATACCTAAATTGGTATTTTGCTTATTCATCTAACTATTTTGAGATTTTCATGTTTAAATGTCTTTTTTGTGTCATTTTTCAAAATAGATGTTATCTTCTTTAAGAGATTCCTAATAATCATGTGCATTGAAATACTTTTTCATGAAAACTCCTTACCATGTACAAGAATTACTTAAGTCAAAATTGATGATTATTGAAAACAAAGCATATTAAAGTTTTATATTTTAAACTAAACTGAATCTTTAATTTACTCTTATATTAACTATAGAAGATAGTACTAAATAACAATATATATTTAAACTATTAGATTTAATTTTGAACAGTTTAAAATTGACTAAAAAATTATAAAATACTCCCTTGGGTTTAGAATATAAGCTAAATTATATCTATTCACGTTCATTAAGAAATTAGTTAAAATCAATTTAAAATAATAAATATGTAAGTCATATATTTTTCTCTAAATATGCCTTTATTAATAAAGAAAATAAATAGAAGATGTAATAAATGAATCAAAAGAGAAAGACAATACTTGAGGATAAAATTAAAAAAACTCATTAAATGTTTAGACAAAAATGAATATTATCTTATAAAAAAAAATCAAACCATTCCAACAAAGTTTAACTTATATTTTAAACTGGAGGAGTATTTTAATAATGGTGATGTGCAACACGAAAGAAAAAAAAGGAAGAGAGAGGGAGAAACGAAAGGAGAAAGGGAGAAAATAGAAAAAGGAGGTTGGGAAATAGGGCAGCTTGGTTCTAAGAAAGATAATAATGATAAAACACAATTAAATCTTAATTAATCTAATGGACATCCTAAATACGTCTCTGCTCTCTATAGTGGTAACTAATGTGTTTTGAGAATAATTAAGTATACTAATATAAGAATATATTTGGAAAAATAGTAATTAATATGGTTTTAAAATTATAAATTGACACATAAATAGGAACAAAATTTTTCATTAGAAGTGACATGCTGACATTAAAAAAAAAAAAAAGAAATTGAAAGTCTTAAAAGAGAATATTATGCTATTTTAACTAATGGTCTTGGGATTAAACCCTAAGTGCACAATTGTATTAAAAATTCGTTGGAAGAGTTTTGCTGCTCTCATAATCTTAACCAATTCGAACATGTTTTCATTTAGCTACTAAGATAATTCCAGCATGGTTGGAATATATCAATCCCATCAAAATAGTTTCTTATTGATTTAATGTTAATTTAAAAAAATTGCAAAGAAGCGCACACATGGATCACTAGCTCCATTGATCTAATCACTCTCGTCAAACTAGTTTCCTAAAACATATGCGTTGGGTTTGAGTATAGACCTCATCCAAGCATGACAAATTACGTTGCTGATAGGGCTTAGTGCATTCGTCCAGTTTGAAACTAAACTATTGTGAAGGTTATACATGTGCTATGGAACCTATCCCCCAAAAGAGTGTTTGGAAACATGTTTGGATGGTTTCAAACCTACATTTTGGCAAAACCAAAGCCAAAATCACGTTTCAACTTTCAACACCTTGAAAGTGCAGCAAGTTGACTTCTCCTGTACGGTGAATAATAATCGAAAAACGAATATCTGACTCAGATCACAGTGTTCTTGAAGCTCCTGGTTTACAGTCCACATGATTGGCAAGGGAATTCTTTTCACCATCAACATGCATAATAATTTACGGTCTCCTAACCTTTAAAGCTTTAATCTCTCTGTGTTGCGCCGTGTATCAGCTCTGATCTTTACTGATGAAAATGTTGGTCCTTTATTGCTGCTTAAAAAAATATACGTTAGAAGGTCAACTTTGCAAAGAGGGCAAAGCCCAAAACAGCATCCAAACGGCTACTTCAGAAAGTGGAATGAATTTTAACAAAAGAAAGTTAAAGATTACAGATAACTTCTTATTCCTACTCCAAAAGTTGATATCTAGTAATAATTACAAGGATACAGCTAATCCCCGAAATGAAAAAAAACAAGGATATGATTTAAGCTAAACAATGAAATATGAATATGTAACAGGATTCCATTTGCACCTTGATAGACAAGAGGAGGGCTAATCAAAGGGCATGCATTATAAAAGATCAAGCGTAAACCTGGACCTGGGCAAGCTCTGCATGCTGTTCACACAACTTTGTAATTCCTCTTTCCCCCTTCTTCCCCTTCTAGATTCCTTGCTTGTTTTGACTTTTGACTACTTAACCAAATGTCCATCTTTCTGTTTTTTTGTAGCTAATGATGTAGCAGTATGCAGCAATTCAATGTGGATTATAATTAAAAACTTGAGTGAAAAAAGTTTAGCACATATATTCAAAAAACTGTTGCCAGTGCAAGGGGAAGATTTGACCTGTTGGCAGCTAACATCCAAACTAATTGGGAGGGCATTGAAATCCAACGGTCTTGACTGCAAAATTGATTTGCCAGTTTCTGATTTCTTGTAATGCTTTTTTAATCAAAAAGTGGCTCCTTGACAAGAAGATTCATCTTCTCTTGAAGAAATTGGAGCACATCCTCTCTCCCTTCCTTAATAAGCAACTGTCTTAGCTTCCCAAATGTGACACCTGAGGGCCGAATTCCCTTCTCTATCATATCTTCCAACAAAACGCAAGCTTTTGTAACATTGCCCTTCTCACACAACCCATTTATAAGGACTGAAAAAGTGTGCATGCTTGGGACAAACCGTTTTCGTTTCATATATCTCCATATTTTAAGAGCCCTCTCCAAATCATTTCCCTCACAAAACATTTTTATCATCATTGTATAAGTATCAGCATCTGGTTCACAAGACTTAATCATCCTGCGAAAGACACTATAAGCCTCATCACTCTGATCATTACCTATCAAGCTACTTATGATTATGTTATAGGTCCTTGAATTAGGAGTGATACCCTTGGATTCCATTTCATTTAAGACTCTATAAACGTTCTTAAATTTGTTTACTTTACAAAAAGCACTGATTAAGGCATTATAAACCACAATATCTGCCTTAACTCCATTCCTTTCCATGTCTAGGAATGTACCAATAGCATCTTCAATCCGAAGTTCAACCCCATATGTATGAACCAGAACACTATAAATGAAAGATGTTGGCCTGCAATTGTTGGCATCCATATCCTTAACAACCTCAACAGCTTCATCAACTCTTCCTGCTTTACAAAGAATGTCAACCATTATGCCATAGGTGACTACATCAGGGTTGCATCCCACGTCAACCATTTCTCTGAAAATCTCTCTTGCTTTTGGAAGATTCGGAGCCTTTCCCATCCTTCAAGCAATATGCTGTAAGTTTTTGAGTCTGGAACAAATCTATCCTTTGTACGGTCAAAGATCTCTTGAGCCTTCCTTACATTCTTGGACTTGCATAAAGCGCTCAGCAAACCATTGAAGGCAGCGAGATTCAGAGATATGTTACATTAAATGTGTAATAGCCTCATCTACCTTCTGAGCCCTAGCATACTTTCTCATAATAATACAAAAGGTCTCAACATTTAGCATCTCCTTTTTCTTCATAGCATTTACCAGGTCCACATGATTTGATACTGCCTTATCTTTGCCAAAGATCCAATCATTGTGTGGTATGCCCTAATGCTGTGTGAGTAATTTTGCTGCTTCCCAGCCCATTCAAAGAACCTATATGCCACCATACCGGCATTCTCAAATCTCTTAAGAACATTCTCAACTATATCCGGTGAAACTCTAATCCCAGTTTGATTTAGAGCAGTATCAAGTGCTAATGTGGGGAGAGGACATTATAACCTTGCATAATTTTCTAGTTATATCTGAAATGTCCTGCAGTCGTTCATTTGCACTGTACATTTTCAAAAACTCTCGGGTTAGAGTATAACTTTCTTCTGGGGTCACAAAGTTTAATCATTGCTTAACCAAAAACCAAGAGTCACAGTTCACCTGAATCACTGAAAAAATAAGAGGGGCTTCAGATGTAAAGACAAAGTTTGATATCACATAATAAATATAAGTTTTCTTCCTAGAGTGCATTTCCATGCAAAATTTGTCAGAAAGGGCAGAAAATTGATCAAAAGAATTCAATTATTGATCTGAAAAACTACAAACTAATTAACAGAACAAATGAAAACAGACGTTTTAACAAAAGGGGGGAAAAAAATGAAAGCAGGCATGATTGAAGCATTGATAATCATTCGGGGAGAAGTACCAGTGCTATATACATATCTTAGATGAATGAGTATGTAATAGTAATACGGCACATACCCGAATTGTATCATGCGTTCTTACTTCTCACAGTTTTTAAATTCTATTATTTTTAAGAGAGAAACCCAGGAGAACACAAGAATAAAGCTATAGATCCAGGATATCATACAGGAGATGCATACTTGTACTAGAGGAATGAACGCAAAGGAATTAGAGATCCTGCAATTCTACATTTTCCATTGGCACGTTGACAAGCAATGGGCATCAATCATTTGAAAAAGAAAGAGAGGGCGAAAATACAATTAGTAGAGTTTAATTTGACAGTCTTCTCGGGTCGGAGAGAAAATGCGGTAATTCAATGGCACACAGCGAGAACCAAAGAGGCCATAAACTCGTCAATGAATTCATTACTGGTCATTGCTGCATACGCTTACTCTCTTCACAACATCAACAAGTTTTTGCTCTCGGTGACAATGGTTTTTGTGTTGTTATTCTTTTGATTTTTTATTTCGAAAGCTTACCCCAGATGCGTCCGCAGGCAGAGATTGACTGTTGTCACCGGTACGGTGCCGTCAAATGCAGAGAAGAAACAAGCCCTGCTCGATTCAGACACTCATCTCCTTCACCGGCGCAACAAACACCCTCCAAGCAGCCCTTTATCTTGTCACTGATAAGCCTCATGTCACTCTGGTCTCCGGCCGTGGCTCGTTACAGAGGAGTTTTGGGTCTCCCAAAAATGGTTTCAGCGTTCCTCGAATGATAGTTGTGGCAGTGAGATTGTCTTTTTTTTTTTTTTTCCTCCCCCAAAACCAGGCCTCCCGGATAGCTGCGATTGTTTCGAGGCGTAAAGTGGCCGCAATGAGTTTTGCGACGGGCTCGAATCCAGGACACTTTTCGGCTCTGTTTGGTTGGAGGGGGGTAAAGGGAAGGGAAGAAGATGACTGTGTTTGGTTATGAAAGTAGATAGAAAAGAAGGAAAGGAAAAAATTTGTCTTTCAATACTCGCTTCTCCTTCCCATACTTCCTTTTAAATTTGGAGTTTTTAAAAAGGAGAGAAATATTATGTTTAATATTAATAAATTACCCATACTACAACTTTTTATATGTTAAAAATTTGTCCATCCTTATTAAAAAATCTTTTTTCACTTCTTTCTCTTTAGCCACATAATAATATTTGATAATTATAATATTATAAATATATACATATCATATATTAATATATACATATGATAATATGTGTGTATTATAATTATATATCATAACGTCTGTGTTATAATTATATAATATATATCATATTATATTAATACATATATTTATAAATTAATGAGATAGAATATTAAATTTTTTATAATATTTTCCAAGTTTTTTAGTTTTATCATTTTTTTATCACATGTAAATGAGGTAATTGGTTTTTTTTGAAATTGATAAATTAAGATAATAATTTTGACATAAATATTGTAATAAAAAATAAATCAGTCTAAATATAGAAATAAGAGCATATTTGTTAATTTATAATTATCTCCCCTCCCGTCCTCTTATGAACCAAATTAAAAATCTCCTCTTCTCTCCCCTCCCCTCCTCTCCAACCAAACAAAACCATGACTTCCCTTCCCCTCCCTTCCTTTTCCAATATAAATTAGTTGTGGAGTTATAGCAGTGTTTAAAATTATTGAACTAACATGGCAAAGAACAAAAATAATAATAACCCAATACAAATTCTAAATAATATAAATTACTTTTTTTTTTTTGGTAACAATATAAATTACTTTTGAAAATATAACCCATTCTTCGGCTTCATGAGCAAGCGCTTTGTTTGCCACTTGAGCCTTTCGGAGTGAAGCCCATCAAAATGTTTGTTGGGTCTCCAGTCTTGTGTCTATAGTCCATTAGCGTTTGTACGATACCCAGTATGATCTAAGCGCGATGGAGTTTTACTTGTATCTTTTTACTTTAATGTTGGTTGAAAAAGTTACTGAAGTTATTTATGATTAGAAAGCATATAATAAGATATATATATATATATAATGAAAGTTTTATCACACTAATATAATCTCAGCAATATTTTATGGCGGTAAATGTTGAGCTTTAAAGAATAACATGAGCACAAAATTTATAATGTTGAGATGAATGTGTGGTTATTAAAAAAAAAAATTATGATATACACACATGTCGAAGAGTTGAAGTGATATCTATTGAAGAGAAAATAGTGAAAAACCATTTGACATGGTTCGAACATATTCAAGGAAAGCTGTTAAATATGCTAGTAAAAAAGGTTGATGATGCAACATAAAGTTCTCTTTAAAAAAAAAAAGACTAAAAAGAACACTCAAAAAGTTATTAAAAGAGCTTTTTTTTAATTAATAATTTACTAAAATATTTAGTTTGAAATAGAGTACAATGACACTGTACATTTCATATTGCCAACACCCTCTAATGAGACAAGATTTTATTGGTGGTTTTGTTAATATTTGATCTTTTATCCAAATAGTAAATAATATGGATTAGCTATGAAATACCATAAAAGGGTGCAAAATCATTTAATTTTATTGCAAACACATTTCCATATGCTTTTCCTGTAAAATATATAGATATGTCATTGAGATTATTGTAAAAAACTAATTAATCCCATGATGGTGCTTATAAACAAAACAAGAAAGACTAATCTCCTCCATCAACCTTCATTTCTTGCCTAACAGGCAAAAATTAATCAATGATACAAAAATTTACCTGTGTTATGAGAGGAATTAGTAAGTTAGCTAAAAAAAAAAAAAGGTGTTTCTTGTGTGCGTGATTAATCAAAACCTACAAATATCATTTTACCAAACAAAAAACCTACAAATATCATCAATCAATGATATCTCTAAACCTAATCATCAAATTAATAACTTTTATGAAATCTAAAACCAAAAGGATGTTCCCATAGCCTTTTGACCAACATAGTGCTAACATTGAAGGAAGTTCCTTGAAATGCCATCTTTGGCTGTTTGATGGGAAACCCGGGTGACTCATTTCAACGCTAGAGGAGAAGGAGACTTGTAGGAGCTGGCATTTATGTTTAGTTGGTCCTTTAATGGCACAACACCTTGTAGATCCGAGGTGGTGGTTGTTAGTTAACATTACATACTATTTGCCATATGCAATTTTTATTTTGATCTATGCAATTTTTAAATAGGTGGTGATTTGATTTTTATAGTTTCATAATTTTTGTTTTAAGTTTGATGAATGATTTCTATATTCTCATGATTTTTTTATTTTGGTCCTGATATTTAAACTCGGACTAAGTTCTTATAAAAAAATAATGATCAAAACCAATAATTTAAAACTATAGGGATCAAAATTAAAATTAGATCAAACTATAAGGACCAGCAATGATATTAACTTTAATTAATTTATAAATATTGAGAAAATTAGTTAATCTGAGTATTTATTAAAACGAGTGTTAGGTTTAAAAAAAATACAATTTTTAATCATTTTACTTTAAAGCTATTCTTGTTGATACAAACCCTTTTAACATATGTAATAAATAAAGACAATTTTAAAAAATATAAATTTGAAAAGATAAAATGAATTAAATCCTTATATTTAATACCAAAACAAACCCTTCAACTAGTTTTTATACTTATGACATGAATGGATATTTTTCAATTAAAAATTTTTACCTAAAAAACAGCAAAGTTTATATTACAGCTTTTAGTTACAGAAAAATGACAAAAAAAAAACTGTTGAATTTCAAAACAATAAATAATTGATTTTAGCACGTAAAAAACTTTACAGGAATAATCAATACCTTTATGAAAATAGTTAACATCTATATTTATCATTTTGAAGTTCAACATATATTTTATGGTTATTTTTCCCTTTAGTTAAAGATGATTTTTAAGTATAAAAGAAGTACGAGTACAATTTTTAATTAATATTAGTTGAAAAAATAGATTTTGAATTTTTTTTACAAAAAATAATAACAGAATGTATTGTTTAATTATAAAAAATTGAAAAATATTCACATAAGCAATAAGGAGCTACCCCCCCCACAAAAATACATTATTCAAATAGTGTAGATAAGAAAGAAGTTCCATGGCATAATAATTCATGAACATCCAAATTTTACGTGTAAACCAGAGAGGCGGATGGATTCATTGAAAGCGTTAATTGTTTTTTGACCAGCATTGAAAGCGTTAATTGATGGTAATAACAAGCTCAACTTCTAATATTAATCTATACCTTCCAAAATGCCAAACAACCAGACAGTTCGCAAAAGCCAAAGGAAAATAATTATACAAAAGAGATCGAATCCGAAATTCGCTTACTGAACATCATTAACATCAACCGAAAATACGAGGCAGTGTGAGAAGGAAATGACAAAAAAAAAAAAAAAAAAAGGGAAAAGGAAATTCCCGCTCAAAGATTCTCCCTTTGGTCTTCACTGGCCTGCGAGCGACATACCCATGTAGCTCCGTCTCTCTCATCCTGTGCTTTTCTCCAGTAAAGAGGCGGAGAAACTAGAAATTTACGTTAGTGGGTCCCCCATTAGCTGGACGATGAAGTCAGTCAAGTACTCAAGCATCGTGCTTTTTAATTTTTATATTGCTTTTCTTTCTCTCTCTCTGCCTTTCTCTTTCGGCACCAAACACTGCCTCCAAAATTCTTTATCTATATATTCAAAATCAACGACCAGTATAAATGTGCTTTGTATTTCAACAGTCTTTCGTCATTTGCTTTTTCAGAAAGGGAGAATATCCTCCGTCTTCTTCCATCCCTCTCACTGTGTACAAGCATCCAAATAAGTTTCACCTTTTAGCTGTTGATTCTACTTGAATCTCCTACAGAAGGTATGATCTTGCCACTCATCCATAATTGCATAATCTGTCTTTCTTTCTAAGTTCAGATCATCTATAGCTTTGCCTTTCATTTGCATTACTTTTACCCCCTTAAAAGAACCACTTTTGAGCTTCAGATAGTAATTTCAGAGGCTTAATAATTGCAGAGTATGTAATAGGCTGAATTGGGTTCTGTTGTATCGGATAGTGCGTCTTGATTGTTTTTGTCAACTTGGGTTGATTTCTTTTCGGGGGACATCTGGTGTTTTCTCAAACGCATTTATGAAAAGTTGAGGCAATGTTATTCGATCAGCGACTCGCTTGCATTTGATTCAGAAAGTTGTTACGCCCCGGTGAATAAGTAAAGAATGAAAGAAGAATGCGAGAACTTCTTCTGGTTGTTCCCTATACCCGCCGAGAGATGATCGCGGGATGGAGAGGGGCAGATTGTTCTCATATTGCTGAATATAACTCTCATACATATTATTTTAATGAAATAAGTTCATATGGTGTGACATATCTTCAGCAGCTCAAAAGTCAATTTAAGCTTAATGGAATTTATATAACTCACCGGGCCAGATTGATGTCCATTGTAGAGTAGGGGCGGTATAATGGTGAAGGTTTATGTAATTAGCGAGGAACTTGCTGTTATATATACAAAAAGAAGAACAAGTGATACGAAAAGACTCTTTTCTTTTTTTTAGTGGAAATGAATATATTAACAAAATGTACAACGGCTTACAAAGGCACAACAACTAAGCTATGGACTCTATAGAACTAAGGAGTTCACTAGCATTAGTTGGGTGATTGACAAGAGTGCAAACAGAGATAATATGGCTTCCATGTGTGTCTTTTTATCACTGTGTTAGGATTATATTCAAATGTTTAACTATTGTTTGCATCATGGTTGAATTATTCACATTTGACAAACAGGCAATCTCCGTTTTGACGTTTTGCACTTTAGTGACTAGGAAGTTCTGTAAATTATTGGATGTACTAGACTTCACTGTGGTTCTTCAGCTGCCATCCTTGATGCATGAGATTAATTGCATAAACATTGCATGTCTTTGCTCGCCTTGCCACATTACTACAGCATATCTGCTGGTTTATTAGTGGGGCTGAACATTGACATAGATTCCTAGATTTCTTTCTACTTTTATTTTCTATTGATGATAAACATTTAGATAATTCGCTCTGATAAGTGCAAGCACATTAATTATATCTTACTCACACTAATAAACTAAAACACCACACTGCAGGATAATTTAGGGTCCAACTATTTTGGTGGAGTGTCCAAGTCATGAGAGACAATGCCTGTATATACTAAGGACTTGGATTCAGCATTCCAGACTGCAGGAGCAAAGCCGTATCCTGATAGTTGTTTTTATTTTAAATTGCCTTGTAGCTTCTGTTTATTCTCTTCACTAGGTATTGTCAGACTCTGTTTTTTGCCTAAACAAAGCGAAATTGTGTTTCCATCTAATGACAAAATTACATAAAACCAAAGTACTAGTATTTGCATGAGCCTGTCTCGATTAAAAAGGGCATCTGCAGCCATTTAAACTCTGCCTTCTTGACAGTAGAGATAAAGTCTAAGCCTGATGAGAATATGATTTCTTGCATTCTGATAGTGGTGATTTATAAAATATCTGTGAGCGGACATAATTTAAAAAGTCTTGGCCTGGAGATTTATTATTTCAGTAAATTTTATTTCAAAATATCTCTTGGTTAAAACAGACAATATGGCATCAACCGTCGTTATCATTTTCCATGCAAGCTAGCTTTGCACTTAGCTATCTATTCTTAGAGGCATAGAAGTTTGGTGTATTGAGAACCAGCATTTGGTTTCGGTTGGCCACACTCCTGCCATGGGAATTCTATACTGGAAGTGCATACATAGTTTTTAATTGTAAGATCCCCATCACTTCGTTTTCTTGTATATGCTTTCAAGTTAACAAACAAGTGAGCATATATTACAATCTATTTTCAATTCATATCCCAAGATTAAAAATTTTCACCCTAATAATATCTCTCACTTGTCTTTTTGGAAGCTGATATATTACTTTGAAGTTCATATACAACATGATGGATTTTCAGTGGTTTCCCTATCAGTTGAACCTTATCTTGATAAAGTTCTCTTGACCTTCAATTGATCTTTGTCTCTGTCTGAATGTTTATGATGACAGACAGTGTTCCCTAAAA